GGGGGGGCGCTTAAAAACGTAGAAATCGTAAGCGGCCCGATTTTGTTCACTGCCTTGCGGAATCGGATAAAGCAGATTAGCCCGGTGTAATACGGGTAGACCCGAGTTTCACCTTCTTGCCGCCCTCTCGTCTCCTCCCCGCCAGCCCCCTTTGTCCTTTTGTGTCTATTTTTGGTGTGATGCTGCAGACGCCACGTGGTCAGTGAAAGGGAGCTTGCCTCAGTAAACAGTCAGCTGATGGGGCTGTGTTATTCCTTGCAACAAAATAGCGCAACCGGATGGGCCAAGTCTGGTGGTGGTGTAACCCCGCAGATGACCTGAAATTACACTGCTAATGGCTTTGGCCCATAAGGAATTCAAAGCTGGTTTTTTTTGTACTCCCAAATGAGAAGTTTATGAGTTTAATTTATCCCGAACTAGAAGAAGCTTCCGAGCAATGGGGAAACGCTCTAAACCTTGACTTTTTTTTTTTGTCTGCTTTAAGGAACGAGAGTATACAGCCCCCCAGAGTGGATCAGATACCACAGATACCATGGGAGGTCAGCAACGGTATGGTCTCTGGGAGTTCTGCTGTACGATATGGTTTGCGGAGACATCCCTTTTGAGCAAGATGAAGAAATCTTGAGGGGACGATTATACTTCAGGAGAAGAATTTCGCCTGGTGAGTTGTATAGGGGTCAAATGGGGGCTTTTTTTTTTTCATTATCTTGTACATTTGAGCTTCTACAGGTGGATTTTTTTTTTATTCAGAATTGTCTTTTTACTTTCCTAATCTAAAATGGCTTTTGTTTGTTACAGAATGTCAACAGCTGATCAAATGGTGCCTTTCACTGAGGCCTTCAGACAGACCAACACTTGAGCAAATTTTTGACCATCAATGGATGCACAAATCTGAAGTAGTGAAGTCTGAGGACTGTGACATAAGGCTACGGACCCTTGATACTGATGTGTCTAGCACAAGTTCAAGTAATGAGAGTCTGTGAATTACTAAGGACCTCGCACTGGGAGGGGAGCTACAAGCAGAAAGACCACAGTGCTGCTGCCAATACGTAGGAGGGGCTAGAAAAATGCATTCATTATTCTGTAGTTGAATCTTTGTCTGAGGGACTTGATTTTATTTTCCCCCTTTGCTGGTTTCTGCTTTGGAATGAGAGATTTCCTTTGGAAACGCTGATGTTTGGGAGTTGCAGGCCAGTACTTAGTCAAAGACTGACCTTATTAAGAAAGCAGTGACCTCTTGAATACATGGTAAACTTTTTTGCTCTCATAGAGCCTGGACTAGATTTTATTTGCTTTTGAGTGCCTTTTTGAAAGCTGCTTCAGTGGGACTTTCTTTTTTGAGCTGTGTATGTCCAAAGAAGATCCAGTTCATTATAGGAATTTGCTCCCTTTAGACTCAGTGCTGGAGGAAGCAGCTCCTATGATGCATTGGAGAACATGTTCGGTGATTGAATGAAGTAGTCCCATCCACTGGTGATGGAATACTTGAACACAGACATTTCACTCCTGCCCCCTGGCCCTTTCCAAATCCAACCCACCTCTGCTGCTCAAAATATTTCCTATAGCCTGCACAGAAATATGAACAGGTATATCAGCTTTTTTATCAGAAACATTTATTCATGTTTCCTTTTATCATCTCTACCATTGGGCATGAGAAGCCCCTTTCTCAACTCCCCCCGGCCTTTTGTCACCCTGCGAGTCTTAAAGTATGTATGGGCATGTTGAATGCACAATCAATGCAATATTCAAGGACTTTACTTTTTTTTTTTCCATACCTGTACAATGTGTTTATGTAAACTTGGTTTTTCCCATGTACTATACAGTTATTTATTGTTTGGAGTTTAGAAGACCTCCCACAGGTTTCAGCTGTGGCTATTTATTTGGTTAATTTATTTGGTTAGAGTTATTCAACACTGTGCTTTCCCCTCCTTCTCCCCATGGGAATTCTAGTGGTTTGCCCATGGCACTTTTTTCTGCATTCCTGTCAACTTTTGGTTAAAAAAAAAAAAAAAAAAGAATTTTCTGACCTTATCAATTTTTGTTGGAAGATGGAAAGTTGTTGTACAAAGTCTAATTTAAGGGAAATAGAATGACTTTTTAAAGTTAGTCAGTATGCCTTTTGTCTGGTATTATTGTACCAGAAATGTAAAGTAATGCTGTTTGGAAGGGTTTTAAATTATTGACATTGTACAGTCTCCGTGCATTGGCTCTGGAAGGGTAGAGTGGCAGAGTCACAAACCTTAATTTATTTTAATAGCTGTGTTTCTGTGATCTGGTTGCATTTATGCAGCTTGGATTTGGATTTTTTTCTTCTGTTTAACAGTGTGAAATGTATGGAGATCATATTTTTTATACAGGTATTTCAATTAAACTTTTTTTGTATATAACAGTTCTGTGTTTGTGTGCTCACTTTTATCTTCACCATTACTCTCGATGCCAGAACACGTATTCCGTTACCTTCTCTAGCTTGTAAAGGCCTGCAGCAGCTCACCCGGAGTTAATAGCTCTATGCCATTAAGCGGTGACCATTTTGGAAGAATTAAGCAATCCCTCATCTTGACTGTATCTGCTTCTTGATCACTGCATTTGATGTTGAACTGGAGAAGGTATACAATACAACAGCGCTGATGGCCTGTGTAGAGGGGAATTGGCCAGTAATGGTGGGGTTTTTAACTCTGTAAACACTGAATAGCTGAAATACCACTGTACTCATTGTCCTTAAGTGTAGCAAGGAAGGATTTTTGTAGTCGCTGGTGGTTACTGTTTTCACAGTTGACATGTTTACTTTCCATTACATTCAATTTCCTTCCTCCTGCTTACCCCTTCCTCTGAGGGGGTGGAAGGGGGTTTCCTGTGCCCTTACAGGAAAGGGGCAGCATTCTTGGAGAGCGAGGCGCCTGTTTTCCTTCAGCTCCCTCAGATTATCAAAAAAGACTGGTGTGTCACTTCATAAAGGACTGGGGAACACGTGCTGTTCTCATCCATAGCAAAGGGCAAGAGAAATGCCCTCAGCATTCGTCTTGGTGTGTTGGGAGTCAAGTCCTGCAGATTACTGAGTTCATCCTAGTTTGTCTGCAGCTAAGGACTGACTTGACTTCATCTTTTCGCGGGGGTGGTAGCGATTACTAGGTTTAACTACCACAGAGGGATCTGCAAGGTACATTTAAGGATGTGTTCAGTCATTAAAGGTGCTTTGTAGTAGTCACAGTAAAGGGCTAGGCTTAGAATCTGTTGTTTTTATGTTATTTCCCTTTCTGGGGACCTTTCTGCCAGCTCATCTACTATTTTTTTGGTTCCCTGTGGGGAATATCTCACTTGCTGACATCACATCGGGCTCCTGATGCTAACTAGTTTAGACTCAAAATGCCACTGAATAGCAGGAGGTAAAGCAGAAGGGGAAAGACCATTTTTTGTGTGTGTAGATTTCTGATGATATGGGGGAAAGCGCATGGCTTTTTCTTGGCCATAAAAAGGAAGTTCAAGTGACTTGTCAGGGAAAAACAAACACAGTCGTGTCCATCAATTTGTCTGTTTTCTGGTTTTGTTCCTTTTTCATTTTAGACTTGTTTCTCCAGTTTTTAATCAAAATCTGTGCATATGCTAAACCTAGTCTCTGGGAAACTCACCTATACATGAAAATGCCTATTGTTGGAACTCTATTCAGAGAAATAAAAGATTTTACAGTTCAGATTGCTTAGGAAAATCACACAATCATGTCCTAAGAGAAGAATGCTTAAAAGTGAAGATTGGGAGTCTTAATTGATTATGTCTTTTGCTTAAGAGGAGGGACTCAGATAAGCTACAGGAGAGATGATCCCAGCGCCTAGTGCAGTTCTTTAGGGAAGCGCGTTTCTAACCACAAGTAGTCCCTGGAGAAATTCCAGTAGCTGATGATAATTAACATCTTCCACTCCAGTGACTTCGCATGCTCGCAGCTGTTGAGAGGGGTGGTAGCGAGGCCGTACGGGTGAGCTTCAAAGGGCTACCAGAAAAGCGATTCTAAAAATACGTTTGTAAAGCTATTGTTGATTGCTGAACTAGGGACTTTCAACATTTCCACAGGAGCGTATGTTACTTTCCTTAGCTTCATAGAGAAATGCTGTTGAAGCGGTCTGTTTTGCAACATAAAAACTAGGTTTTCACCTTTTGCTACTGAGGCAAAATGCATTAAAAGGATAAAGGTCAAAAGGACACGGGCGCGAGTGCTGACTCCCCTCTGGGATTAGCTCAACATAAAAGGTACACTTTCAGTACTGCACAGGCAGCTTTAGTTGTGAAACTCCCCTGTACACTAATAGAAGCCACGTGGCTGAAACACCATATACCGAAAGTAATGATTTGTAAAAATAGCTTTTCATTACAGTTGAAAGTTGGAAAATGATGTGTTAATATAGTTCCATTAGCTGTTACTGTCAAAATGAGCAAGTCGGTGACAGCTTTTGGTTTCTCCTGCGCTTCTATCTGTTATTTTAATATCATTAAATGTTACTTCTCTGGGAACCTCCTCTTTGTACTCTCTCTACACTAGGTTGGTTTTCAACAGCACAAAGCTTGAAAAATAGAATTCTGTAGATCATTCAAAGAACTACCGTTTAAATCACAGCCTGTTTTAACCTTGACAAATTGATTCAGCAATGATCATACCTATGCATGTATGTATGCTACTGGCTTCATAACAGGTATTTCAAATATATTCTAATGCTGAAAGATCTTTAACAACGTAGTATTTTATGTAATTCATCTCCTTAATAAAACTCATTCTCCTGTGTGCATAAGCATACATTTGCTTTTCTTTAGCTAACTAAGCTTGTATTTACTGAAGCAACCGAACAAGAGCCTTTTGAACAAAACTGTCAGAAGGATGGTAGAAAGATTGACAAGGGTGTGTTCTCACCATTCTCTTTCAGTGGTTTACTGACCTCTGTTGGTGAAATTAAAGTATGTGTTCTGAAAATAATGATGCATAAATTGGGAAGAGAGATTTTAAAACACTACTGACTGGTATTTTTAGATATGGAAGAGTATGGCTAATACTTAAATATGCCACAATGTTTGAAAATCTACCATTACAAAAGGAAGAAAAAAAAAAAAAGAAAAAAAATTAAGGTACTGCAAATACGAACATAGCTTTTCAACAAAAATGGGGGAGGGGAGTATGAATTCAAAAGGTTGTCAACTCTGCATCTGAAGTTACAGATGTAACCTGCCTAGTGAGCCCCCAGTCACTTACATGACTCTTGGCATGAGCTTTTACAAGCATATCAGCCCTCATTCTTCCACTTCATTTCCGTCAAGATGAGAAGCACTTGTCTTCTGGCATACAGATGGACAATAATTCTCAGCAGTGTAACTAGATAACATAACAAAACATTGTGACCCTATCAGCTTATTATTAGTGGATTTTTTCTACTAACAGCAGTGATGCTACTGTTGGTGGCAGAAGTCAAGATGGTGGCATTTTCATTTCATTGCAATACACAGTTTTTCTGCTTGTAAATTTGCAATTGCTTAGTTTCATGGTTATCTGCAATTTTAAAATTTAGTATGTTTTCGCTTAAGGGGTTCCTTCAGGTAGCTGATACTACCAGACATATTAAGCTTTGGTTATGTTGTAGAACTGCTGGTCAAAGTGACAAGGAGGCCACAAACCCATGCAACTAAAAATAAATTTAAATCTGTATTTAGACAGGATTCCTAGTTAATTTCAGAGAATGCTTGTCTCAAAACTGATGGATTCATGTGGATCAGTAAAAAACGTGGCTATAGAGACACACCAGGCTTTATTTTTCCTTAAGAGAAGTTACACTAGAGAACCCCAGAACTGGGGTCTAACACAAGGTAAAATGAGGAGCAGTTACATAAATCCATGAAATTCTTGCAGAGATTTTCTTAGCTAGCAATCCCACTCCTGTTCCAAGAAATTTAAAAGGTATTCAATCTTCTGTGTCCTTTGCGGCTCATAATCTTACTATTATTTGTAATATGGCCTGGCACACCCAAGTTTTAAGAAATGTTAGGTGGTTTCCAAATAACTGTTAAAATTTGCATATTTATATCTCAGATGCTAGGATTTCCTTTTCCTTAAAAATGCCATGAAGGAAATTACTTGCCTACGGAAGCATTATGCTTACATAATAATATAAATTCAGTATAGGTCTCAGATTAGCTGTGTTTAAGCTCTAATTAATATGGTCTTAGTAAGAATGTTATCTATTATAGCTAATACTCTGCTAATTAACTACACAAACCATTATGTAAAAAGCTGCTTATACTAGTCCAGTAAGAAAATTAGTGAGACGCATACTTTAACTTGCACTCTTTCTCAGGTAAGTCTGTGTTAAACCTTGAAATGACAATTAAGTCATAGGCAACAGAGCATCTTGTGGAACAATATGTTTCTTTGTTTACTATTAATGACTCAGCAGTCACTTTAACTCTCCAATCAGGAGTAATGAAAAATTACAGAAAATTATACTGAAAACTGAAGGGTATTTTGCTCCATTCTGTGCAGAATTCTGAAAAAAATGTTTTATCACTTTGTGAATCATTGTTTGTGTAATAGCTATTGGATTTTTTTTTTATATATAGCATTTTTTAACAGAAAAAAATGCTGTTTTGTTGAAATAAAAAAGTTTTGCTTGCAACACCTATTTTGATAATTATGAATGGGCTAGTTTCAGGGTTGAAGTCTATTTCTCCACTTTTCTGCTTCCCTTGTTTTAGGCCAGGAAAACAGAAGCATCAAATATCAGTCTATTCCAGTTAAAATATATAAATATGTTAACAAGCATATGCTATAAAAAGTTGGAGTGGGGATCCCCCAGATGGTTTTATTTTTGCCAAAAGTTTCCAAACCTAATAGTGTCATGAAAGGGAACAGTCTCTTTGAAGACTATCCTATGGGAAGATGTCCATTAATCAGGGGGAAATGCTCCTGTGTTCAGACCCATGCAAGGTTTTTTCTGTTTTTTAAATGCCTATGTAATAGCAAAAGCCTTACAATACACAGATTTACATCAGCATAGAAAAGCATAACAAATCTCAGCTTTGCAGATGTAACTTGTCTGTTGTCCAAGCAAAGGTAAATAGATAACAAACAATCCACAGAAAGGCAGATTAAGTTGTAGAAAGGAAGAGCTTTGTATCTGTAAGGATAGCTGAACACCAGAGTAAACTGACTGTGGAGTATATCAATCATCATTTTTAGAAACAAGCATTTTTCATAAACCATCCAGAAATTACAGCTCATTTAAAAACACTTTGGAATTCTTCAGCCTAATGCTCATGAGTTAACAAAAAGAGATTTCAGTCCACAACATTCATTCTGCTTGTTGAACCAATATAAAATTTATTGACAGTGCCCCTGTTGCTACTGGCAAAACACTTTTT